TTAATTATAAGCCTTCGAAAGAGTACTGCAACAAATACATAAATATGGTAAAGAAAACCTGATAGAGAAACGACAAACAGCGACGGAATATGTTCCGTTCGATGATTTCTTTTAATAAAATAAGGTTATGTTGTTTCGATTAAAATGACTTTTCACTTTCAGTTTGGATTTAACATGTTTCCGGAGATTGTCAGACCTTTCAACAACCACTATAGATGTTTTTCTGTGTCAATGTTACCGGGTACATATCGACGAGATGTAGAACGTGGAGGGAAAAGTATATATATCTAAAAAACATGTTGTAAATTATTCACTGAACAAGTAAAAGATTATAATTTGTTGTTTTTCAGTAATCATGCCACCCTCAGCTTTAGAGCATCTCACAAGATTAAATATTAGATTTCCTATGTTATTCAGATTAAGTAATGAAAAAACTAATAGAATTACTCATTGTGGAGTTTTAGAGTTTGTTGCGGACGAAGGAAGAGTTTATTTACCTTGTTGGGTATGTTTATATTCTCATTTTTGTATTATTAGTTAGGAATACTAGATTGATATATAGCCCAAATCAGTGTACAATTACCATATTGTGATTACAGATGATGTACAATCTTTTGTTACAAGAAGGAGAATTAATAAATGTTGAAAGTGTAAATTTACCTGTTGCAACATTTTCACGTTTTCAACCACAATCAGAAGATTTTTTAGACATCACAAATCCTAAAGCTGTTTTAGAAAATGGATTAAGAAATTTTGCTTGTCTTACAACAGGTGACATTATTGCTATAAAATACAATCAAAGAATATATGAAATGTGTGTTTTGGAAACAAGACCAGGTTCAGCAGTCACTATCATAGAATGTGATATGAACGTTGAATTTGCTCCACCATTGGGATATGTAGAAAAAGAGACTAAAAAGGATGAAAATGTAGTAGATCCTGCAGATTTAATGCCAGCACCATCTGGTTTTGTGCCATTCAAAGGAGAAGGTAATAGACTAGATGGCAAAAAACGTAGAGATTTTGCAAAACCAGAAGTTACCACAAGTAAACCGGCTTATGTTAGAGGAATACCAGATTATGATTATAAAATAGGAACACTTACGTTCTTGCGCATTAGTAAACCTGTTAATAATAAAGAGGTAAGTTGAAATGTCATTTGTATGTTACTGTATATTTACCCCATTATATGTTTATAGGCAAAAGACCCAGATGAATTTAAAGCATTCACTGGTGAAGGTTTTTCTCTTAGGAAATCAAAGTAATTAAATAATTGGTTTATTTATTTTCATACAATTACATGTATTTGTAAAAGTGAGTATTTATATTTGTAATTAAACTGTTATACTTTTTAACAAAAATAGTTTCATACAAGTTCTACCCATTACACTAATAAGCCTTTTTATTTAAACAGCTTTTTGTATATACGTAAACGAATTAACCTACAGTATAAAAATTTATATCCTATAACTCAAATATCTTACAAGTGAAGTCAAAAAATTACCAATATAAAAATAATTAATATATAGTATTGTATTATCACAAATTATAGGATTGCAGTGAGAATTTTAATCTACCAAAGGACCCCAGAAATATTTACTGGGTTTTGTTGGATCCTCTGTTAAGAAGAACTCACGACCCAATGTTATGAATTCTTTAAAGCTAATTTTACCATCATCATTAGTATCAATATGACTGAAGGAAATAACTGCATCCTATAATAAATATTTCAGTTTAATCAATTCATTTATTTAACTTTTATTTTAATAATCATAAAATTGAATGTGCAATTTTACTTACATCATGTGTGAGTCCTAAACATTGGAAAAATAACTGAAATTCTTGCACAGAAATTTCACCACTTCGATCTTTATCCACTGCCTGCAATTTTATATTTAATGATATATTGAAAATATTTTTTAACACATATTAACCCATTGGGACGGCGTCTGTACACTGTACACTGTCTCTTGTTTTATTTCCACTAGCCACAGTTCGTGCAACGTACGGACCGTCGCGTCGCGTGTCGTACGGACGCTTGATACGTCACGTCATTTATTTTCCTACGTCTACATATCGTATTTCACAACATTTTTCAAGGATGGCTGGTAATAATGTTCATAATAATGTTTTGATCTTTATAAAGACCAAATTTTTCGAATTCCTTTCTGGAGTCGCAGTTTAGCTGTAGCAATCGTCTTGCAATTAATTACGGCTTCAACAAGTTAGGAAATCGCTAGTAGAAATTTAGTAGAAAGTGAAAATGAGAGTGATTCCGATGAAGTAATCGATGATCAAGCAATCGTAAGTGCGATTATTGATGCATTCTTAACTCATTTTGGAAACCTATATGTCACAAAATATCGTCAGTCGCACAAAAAGAAATTGCGAATCGTATGTCGTCCTCAATGGGTTAATTTATATAAATGCATATTTTTAAAAACATACTTTGAATAAAAATGGCAAAAAATAATGACATTTTCCCTTCAATGATGAGTCATTAAGAACATGTTGCATTTCCTCCAAATATTTTTCGATACAAATAAGATTATACGGACTAATTTCTCCCCATTGTTCTTCCCATGCTTTCTATATATAAATAAATAACTTAAAAGTATTATGTACTATTTCATTTTGATCCATAGAATGCATAAAAAAGAGACTGACTTACATTCATTATTTTTTTGAATTCAATTTTTAATTCTGGAGTTAAGTATCCCAAGTCAGAAAATTTTTCTGTGAACAACATGAAATCGTCGTGACCGATAACTCCGTCTTTATTAATATCCAAATGATTATGTAGTGTCCGCATTTTCCTTCTCCAGAAATATGATTGTCCCTGATAAATAAAAATATTCTAAATAACTTTTTATTGAATGATTAGTTACCACATATTAAAAAAAAAATAATAAATGACTGGGATTAAATTGTTACCGCATTACAATATCTCAAATAATAAGACTTTAAACAGTATCTTACTTTTCCTTGTTCGGTGTCAGAATCGTTATCACTTTCTTGTTCGCTTACAGAAGTTGAGATACCCGTTTGATGCACTCTTCTTGTACTACACGCTCGCGGAGATATTTTATAATACTGAAAACATTTGGTTTATATATTCCTTAATAAATAAAAGGTTGTTCTAAAAATTGTTGTGTGTTGTTATTGATTATGACAACTGCATTATATCTAATTAGATAGATTACGATATTGTATCCTTGTATAAAAACATTACATCGTAAATATATAATATAAATATATACGTTCAATGAACTTCGATGCAAGGTGAAATCCTAATAATAGACTCCAAAAAGAGTCTGGATTAAGAAAAGAAAGAAAAGAAATTAATTTATCTTTAATAAGTTAGAACAATTAAAAAGATATGTAACTCTACTATTAATAACATTAGTACAGTTTTAATATTCCTTTTAATTAAAAATTCTATAAATAAATTATCTTTATCCATACACAGTACATATGTTTACATGCACGAACTATAGTACAACATTATGTATTTGTAATATTCTACACCTGTAAAACTAATACGTAATATTGCCCTTGAATCTTGAAGATTTTCCAAAACAATTTGGAAAAGGTGAAAATAATTATATAAATTATTTAAATATATTCAATAAACATATCCTTTTTTTAAAAATTTGAAAAATTTGCTACCTACGATTCAAAATATAATTTTTATTTTTTTTAAATAACATTTTCCGTCTAAATAACTTTTTAAAATGACTTATTTTATTTATTAATATTTTATTACTTCATATTAACATCATTTTTAATACAAAGTGTTTTAAAACAAAGTAATTGATTAGAAATTTGTTATAAATTAAACTCACTATTTTTTTTTGCAATATAAAAAGAAAATTACCTGGTTGCATTTTAGTAAAATATTTTGTTTTTCTGATATTCCATAGCATAAAATTGAAATAGCTCTTTTTTTAAAACACTTGTTGGAAGTTACAAATCGTAGACCAGTTCGTAATAATGTTGTTGTCATTTTAACGTGAACTTCAAGCAAACTATCTGTGACACAGAACTAATATGCTCTACTTAAAATCGTTTGGAATTTAACACTAAAGCCGCAGAGATCAGTGGGCCCCTTTTGTTGGGTCGGTCCAAATTCCCTCTTTGTCCTTTACGCATGCGTAATAGTGCTCTGTTCCCCCCTTTTACTGTTGGGATATATGTATATAGTCTGACTGCCTTGTACGAGCGCCCATGCACGTCCTCCTTTTTTCACAGATAAAACCCATAAACGTATATACCACCATAACTACATAGACACAAAAGAAAAAAACAAACACTAGAAAATGCTCTGCTCTAAACCTGAATATTAAGAATATATGAACTAACATATCAATTATATGTAAATCATATTCCTTTTTCTGATTGATATCAATAAAAAATTCGGTCCCGTAAAAACCTAAGTTTTAAAGAATCAATTTATAGCTAGAATCTGCTGAAATTGTAAAAATTCATGTATATATCTAGCTACGTATAATTCTGATATTAAAGACAATTTTCGACCAAAATACCCAAATCTACGTAAAAAAAATACATAGTAAACGTTAAAAAACAAAAACTTGTGTATGTAGTTAAATTAAATTTTTCTTTGTATTACGCCTATGCTTAATTTCGTGTTTTATCGTAATTCTAGAGAATTGATCAGTACATTTCAGGCACAAATGAAATTAATATATAAAAAAGGAATAGTTGAAAATATAAAGATCGGATACTAATACACACAAGGAAATTCTAATGAATCACAGAAGTAGGACACGGTAATATGTATGTCTATACACAGACTTAAATGAACATAAATAAGCATACGTGACACGAAGCATGGTACTAAATTTAGTTGATCATGACAACTTTTACTTAAATGAATGTAACATGAAAAATGAATGTTTTTTGAATAAATACATACCATGAAAAAGTAAAAATTGTTATATAAGTATGATCTATATTTGCTAAATAAAAACTATTATGCAATTTATATATTGTATTTCCATTTTATTTATATCAAATGTATTATACAATTTAAATTTTTATATAAATGCTTAAATGGTAATACAGGTAATATTTTATATGGATTATACACAGATTAATCTTGAATTTCATTGTGAAATTCCATTTTCGATTTATAATATATATCTTACATTTTAATTTTCCTACATATTTTAATTTTTTTTGTACTCGATTCGTTCGACTTTTACTTCATCACCAACAAGTTGATAGACATAAGTTACAACTGTTGAGCTCTGAATATCCATTAGAACAAAAGATGGGATAACTGATCTGTAAATATAATGATGAAATAAAATAAATAATAAAATAAATTTATAAGTATATTATGTAGCATTCAAAATTTACTTTATACTATTAACATAAAATCTTACGTATCAAGAGGGTTATATGCCCCTGTTGCTGAACCAGGATTAATATAAAATTTGTTTTCATGCTCGTATGCCTCAAATTTATGTGTATGACCTGATATCAAAATATCAACGTCTAATTGTCTTTGAATTAAAGCTAGTGATTCTGGATCTCCCCAAGGTACTACTTGATGTCCATGTGACAAACCTATTCTAAACTGACCAACAGTGACCACTTTTTGTTCTGGATAATTTAAATTCTGTAAATGAAAAGAATATATAGTAAAATATACATTATTAAGGAATTATAACAATATTTAACAATATTAAATAAAATATACCTCATCAAAATCTCCTCTAACAACATGTACATCACTGGCTAGTGTTTTCAAGTAATCATATGATTCTTTAGTACAGAGATTACCTGTACATAAAATATGTTGTATTCTACCAGGCACCAACAATTTCTTAAATTTACTTGGAAGACTACTACATCTGTGTGGTATGTGTAAATCTCCCAATACTAAAACAAGCTGTAAATATCCAATATTATTTTTACCAAATATAATAAAAAAATTATATAATGGATCTTTAATAGTATATATTTTCATTTTATTAACTTTACGAAGTTATGGTACTTTTCTATGAGGTTAGATTATAAGACTCAAGGAATTTGTAATTCCAATTAATTAATTTCTATTACTAATATTTAATTTCGTGTACTCACCATGACGAATTTAATAATATTTTTTTAATTCCTATATATTTTTTAGCGTTGATATTTATTTTATTGCATTTGATATCTGTGAAGAACAAAAGCTAATGAAATGTCAAATGCACCATTGGAAATATGTTTGACAGATAAGCCTTCGATTTTCGAGATTCGAGATTGCATTAATTGTCACTATTTTTTACAATGCGCTAAATATAAGTTATATATTCTTACCCAAAGTTTATACTTGCTTATAATGTAGATTATTTCTATAAAATGATTATTATTTATGTATATCAATAATTTGTATTTCAGATATACGAACATACATTTCTGTCATAACCGGTTAACCAAATTCAGTTGTTTGATGTACCCTATTTTGATTTAAATATAATATTATGGATTCCTTCGGTTACTTTTTTCGAATAATTATTTAATGTTTTATTTATAAGAAATAGTTTAATGGAAGAAATTTAACATGAAGTGTGTTATAGCAGGAGCAAATGTAAAAAGTATGTCGATTTCATGTAGGTTATATTTTGTTATGTATTAAAAAATATCATTTATGTATAATAAAGCATTATAGTTTTAGCGAAGGCTATACATGCATTATCAAAAATTGGAGATGAAATGTACATAGAACCACATGAAAATACTTTATCATTTCGTACTGTTAATATGGCAAATTCAGCATATGCTGATTTTACATTCCTACAAAGTTATTTTTCATATTATGCTTATGGTGACTTACAAGAAAATGATGCATTGAAATGTAAAATATCAATGAGGGTAATACAATATTATTATATTTCCATGTAATATTACAAATAATAATATTTCTATTTTACAGAGTGCAATGACTGTATTTAAGGCTCCACATTTAATAGACAAACAGGTAGAAACATGTCATATTAAATTAGAGCCAGATGCATCTGAAATTTTGTTTATTTTAAAGTATAAAAACAGTATTACCAAGACTCATTTATTGCCCATTCTAGATTGCGAAATATTACAAGTATGTATCATATATCTATAACAAATTATTTACATTTTCATTTTTCATTACCTTCTTTTATTATATTTTTTAGACTGTATATAATAAGGATTCTGCATCAATCAAACTTTTATCTCAACCACGAGTATTAGGCGATGCAATGCAAAATTTTCATCAACATTTAATTGAAATAACATTTGAAGTTTCAGCACAAAAGCTTTTATTAAGAAATTATGTTGATGATGTCTCAGGTAAAATCTAAGAGATAACAAAAGTAGTTTCTTGTAATATAAAATGAAAAATTCCTGACAGGTTTATCAAATACAATACGTACACAACTTGCACTTGGAAAGGGAGAATTTGATCGATATGATATTGGTAGTGAAACAACAATTACCTTTTGTATGAAAGAATTTAGGTCCATCTTAAATTTTGCAGAAATTGCAATTACACCCATTAGTATATACTCTGAAGGAGCAGGAAGGTAAAAACTAGTAATATAAATTTTAATTCCTTTATATTAGACATAGGTAAAATGAATTTATATAAATGAATATAATATTTATTAATATTTTTTAGACCAGTTATATTCGCATTAAAAAATCAATCTTTTGAAGTGAACTTAGTGCTGTCAACATTGAGTTCTGATACAGATAGTCAAGCAGAAACAACATTAATTAATAAGCCACAAGAAAAATCCATAAAAAGAAGAGCAACAAATAAACGAGTTTGTAGGAAAAATAATAAATCTGATAGTAAAATTCAAGATAAGTCAGTTAAATCCAATAACAAATTAGGTAATGTTAAAACACCACATCCATGTTTCGTGGAGGAACCAAAGGGACAAGTTGATGCATCAACCAGAGATAATCAAAATCTAAATGGAGTAAGTAACCTTCCTATAGAACAAGATATTGAAGATAAAATGAAAAAGAATACCTCATCTAGCTGTGACGTAATTACAAACGTTAATAAAACATCTACAAGTGAAAAGAAATTAGTGAATTTTATATTTTCTACAATAACGAAAAGAAAATCTAGTAACAATGAAACCGACAAAGAACAAAATTTGGATAGTGATCAGTCTGATGCATTTGAAGACAAAGTACCAAATTCACCATCTCCTCCAAATAAAAAGGCTCGTTTCATTTTTCAAAAATGCTTTCAAAAGACATTCGACCCAAGAACATTGCCAGGATACAATGTAATCTTAGCTGAAGATTCAGATGAAGCTAGTAATGATTAAAAATAATTTTTCACAATATTTTACGCCATTCGTGTCTCAGTCATGTGATTAAGATAACAGAAATCTATAAGTTTCTATTATATCAATTTATTAATCACTAATTTTGTTTTAATTAACGAGGATGTTTCTATATGTTGTTACATATGTAATGTGTGTATTTGATAGATAAATTGTACATTAATTACAAAATATGAATTTTGAATTATTAAAATGAAACTATTGTTTATATTACATAGTTAAATAGATAAAGTCTCCCTTCCTTAAACTTCACATTGTCTGTAAACAAAATATAAATATACTTTTTTATCATGCCTTCTTAAGCGGCTTTAATCTTTATGAAATAAACCAATAGCTACAAAATTATTGTATTCTGCCTTAAATACTTTTTACTAAAACGATAATATTACTGATAATGGATATCTATCACGATGGATATTGATATTAATATTTAGAAAATATTTTTTCATTAATGGTTTAAATATAACCCATGTGCAGTACAAATATTAACATTAATGTCATGCTTAAAGTTAATGTAACAAATTGTTCGTTTAATATTTATTAGTAATTAGAACACGTTTGACATAAAGGCAGTATAATCTGTTATTGTTTTGCCGCTACGTGGAAACGTTACTAGAAACACAAGTTGGGATGACTTTCTATATACTGCATACTCGTGGACTACGCTTGCTTTAGGAGGGCACCACTAAAACAGTTAGAGAACTAAAAATCGCGATCCCGCAGTTGGTCTTGAAAGAATGCAATACGCGGACGTATCATGATCGTACGTATGAGGTCGAATTGTTCTGTAGCGATTCCGCTTGTACCGATACTTGTATGCTAACAATTTCGAATCTTCATTCACTGTAACGAGTACGCGTAATATTAAGAAACAAGTAAATCATTACACGCCGATATACGTTAATACCAACGACAGTGGCAATTATACAACTGTGACTTCGTGTACGTACAGAGAATCGCTAAAGCATTACAATCGACAAGAAAAGTGCGTGTACGTGAGTGAATAGAGTGCCTCAACCCTGATCTCCGCGCCCTTCTGAATCGTTGACAGTAGTCATCGTGATTTTCTGCGAACGATTCTATCGATGACGTGCCGTGGACCAGTCTACGAGAACACAAAAGTGTTGCATGCTGCGTGTTAGGGCAAGAAACAAGGGCCTATACTATCGCGTTTTAACCATTGAGGTGGGCTGCACCGACGAGGCTGTGGACGTTCCTAGATTGGCGGTAAATATACACTTATCAACAGCCTATCTCTTCGCTCGTACCCACTCTGGTCTACTTTACTTTTCTTTCCTTTACTCACTGCTTGTGTGCCCTATCGTTGTTCATCTATCTTATGTACCATTCCAAGTGTGATTGAACGCGTGATAATTTTTCTTCCGTCCTCCCTCTCCTTCCGCTCCTTTTTTTCAATTCATGCTTCGCTTGATACACTGTGGTGTGTATGTGTGTGTCTTACCAGTTCACCCTCTCGCCGGTGTCACGTATTAATATTGATCAGAGGGCCGGTAACCCGAAGGAAGCGATATCGCCTGCGCTTTTCCGAGCACGAAAACTCTAGGCTCCGCCCTGCGTCAATTTTCTTTGATCGGAGCTTCTTTTCGAAATATCTATGATTCTTTCGAGATCCTGGAACTAGAGGAGATTTTGTTTTTTGGTGCACGCATTTGTGGACATTTGCAAGGATGATTTACGAACGTATAATAAACGTCAATCATCGTCGAGTGGGATCCTCCCATTTCTGGCCACTCGAGAATCGGTATGTTTGCCGCTGAAATCTCCGCGGTTGTAATCCGGCTCTTCGATGCTTACATATACATAGAAAGGGGGCTTTTAGATCGGCGCCGGATGCTGCTCGCTAATCGTTCGGCTGGCTGCATCCGTCCCCTTGTGAAAGGGTCCCTCGAGACAAATGCGCCTGGCGATAAGGGTGTATATAACACGTTGTCACGGATGTGTAACCGGCGAGATCAAAGATCCTTTCGCGTAATGCGTGCACAGTTTTGTCGTGGAAATCGTACAGTTCCGTTCCCACTTGAAAACCGAGGGACCGAGTTTACCGAATTACATAAGTCAATTAGTCTATTTTCAGATAGCAAAATTCTTAAACGTGCAAGTTAGAAGCTGTTCGGTCGAGCGTTGCTCGTGATTTCTTTTAATATTGCCCACTTAAGAATTTAATTGAGTCGTTAAACGGACGTAAATATTTTTTCAACTTAGATGTAGTTCTTTTTAATGTGTTTATGTTCGATTGTAATGTATGGTATAAATATTTTATGAAGTACGTGATACTGTTAACAAAACCGTTAATAAATACTGTTAACAAAAACATAAAAAGGAAATGGTTAAAGATAGACGAAACAAATATATCGAAAAATTTGACGTGCAATTTCGTTACCAGCAGTCAAATGTATTCGCACGTGAATATTAGTGATCAGTGCGAGCATTTTGTTTGCGACAAACTTCGCGCGAGTCACCCTCGAACTATATACACGCATAGATGGGTAAAACCTACTTCTAAAGTGATCTCTAATTATTTACTGCCAACAGAAGATAAATATTTTAATGTTTTCTTGTCTGAGAAATCTCAGTTAATTTCTAAATATCAATACCCATTAGTAATAAGAAGTATGTAAATCTAATTAGAATTTAAGAAAAGTGTATAAAAATAAAATGTACGTTCATAGTAGCAGAAAAATTGAAAAAGACTATGAATTCTCGTCATTGATCGTTCACATGTGTCGTAGATGAAACGTTAATCCTCTCCACCGTATGTATTCATATGTTTATATTGGCGATTCGCATCGTTCAAATTTTGCAGTTACATATTAACTCTGAAAATTATATTAGTTTTACTCGGTATATAATGTTTACACGTGTTAATATAATGCAATCATCATTTATGCGAATGGTTATAAATATTGTACGATATAGACATATATATAGATTCAATTATTTCTATAGCTATCGAAGAAATAAGAAAACATAAAAACTTACGTAAAAGTTCTCTGATCGAGGCGGGAAAACATAATGGCGAAACTAAATAGTTATTTCTGTAATCATTGATCTTGAATACTACAAAGTCACTTTTTTCTTTATCATTGAATCTGTATACTTTTATTAATATATGTTTATAAAATATAAATTTACGTATGGAAAGTTATGGAGAAAATATGATGAATTAACAGACATGCATTTCTCATCAATATGTTAACATGATATTGCTACATACGGATATTAGCCATAAAATCACTCCTTCCAACATGTATCGGTGAATCTTAAATGCGATTTTCAAATAAATCGTTCTGACCTCTTATTTATATTCAGATCTCAAACTGTAAACATCAACAAATCAACTTTTACTTAAATTGTAAAAATTTCCTAAAATTTTTATTATTCTAGAATTAAATAATTTTCTAGACGAATTCATAGACAATGTTTGGGTAATATCCATTAGTAAAGCCATACTCATATTCTCATTTCAATTTCTATTTTGTATTATTTAGTAGTGTTTCTAGTAGTTATGTAATATTTTTAAATATAATTATAAAAATTACTTTTATTATTTATTTATTTTTCTATTTTAAATGAGATCCATTGCTCTAAGATAAAAGCGACAGTTAATTTATTGCCAAACTTCACGGCAGTATATCATAAAGTTTTGTCAAAAACTGCGTGTGGTTTAACTCTCGGTATATATAATCAAGAAGTAAATATGTAATAAAGGCATAATAACGACAGCAATGATATAATAACATTAAACGATAAGCAAACAAAAATGATTGTGATAAATACCAATTTAAATGAAATTTAACTTGCACATATACGCTTCATAATACCAGGTGATTAAGAGTAGTAAAACAAATTGTTGCAAAATTATCTTTATACAAACAGCTTCCAACGACTGTGATCAATTACGATACTATTATTACTAGATTAATAGATTATATTCTTACTAGTATGTTACAGTAAACATCGATATTATCATAAATACTTGCATGTTTTTAGTAATTGCGAAAACAAGAAACCTAATACCAGTTTGATAGTTCTAATGTTAATGGGTTAAAAAGGAAATACGATTTCGACATCATTTGCTGATACACTTAATTCACGACAATCGTGCCAAGATACGACGAATTGGTAACGATCCTATGAGTACCTGTTAACCCAGAAATTCGAATATAGGGCAAATGTGATATCACCTTGAAACAGTTCGAAATCGTTCGGAACATGTTTCTACTCGTGTACTGTACATGTTTCGTACTGATCGAGCGATCGCGATAGGTAATCCATGGATCGTGGCGGGTTCCGCGAATGTCGAGCCGCGATTAAGCCGTGCCCGAGCTTACGCGAGTTATGAAATTCAGAATGAGCGTGCAACTTATCAGAGAGAAGTGCAACGTCGTGCATAACTTTCGATGCCGTGAGCGTTAATGAGATGCGCGTTATCCTCGCGTTAAATTAATTAAATACGTAACGCTGTGTGTAATAATTAGTGATATAACTGGCCGTGGAAGAACAGTTTCTTGGTTTAATGAATATTTCATTATTTACGTGCAGTTTCGATCTTTGCCAAGAAATACATATACAGAGTATTTCAGGCTTTCTTTCTAGACAACTGTACAGCATATTTTATGTGCAAGAATAAGGGAATACAAATGCTTTATTAAAAAGTTATAAGAAAAATATATTCGTCCAGTCGGAAATTAGTCAAATATGTGTATACAAGTTTCGGAAGCCAATTTTCTCAAAAATAAAACATCAAACGCAATTTCGTTATTTTTAATCATTGTTTTAACGTGAGACATTTGATAAATAAATTCGTTTTTTCTACTGGAAGTGTATCTTTCGAAATCTTTAATTGGTTACTCATTTGAGATAAGAACAATTGTCATGTGAGAATGAGTAAATGAAATATTCTCAGTTATTCCCAAGATAATCGGTTTTCTCGAAGATGCCTCAGTGATCGCAGGATTTACTGTTTCCGAATTTCTTCGGAATGACTTCTCGTTTTCCTAATGGAGATCGTGATAATTTATAGTCTCGAATATTATATTCAGAAGAGACATTTATTGGCAAGCACTATGCTATTTACTTAGAATGATGATTTTTGTTTTTCTCAGATTGGATTGTTATACTTTATTCTTAGAAATTGTTTTCATATTTTTCCGGTGAAATCATTTTATTTTGCTGCTTCAGAGTTGTAGTATGTCACAATAATATCATTTACGAGTAATCAATTTAATATAATTTTCCAGAATAGATAATTTACATGGAAGTGCTATATAATTAAAAATCCTGAAGCTCTTCAGTAAAATTGGAAGGATACACATCTCAACTTTTAAAATTTCTTAAGATCTGTTTTTTCAACAAAAGTTCTCGTTACGATACACTTAGTTATTTTCTGAAATACGAAAGATTGTTTAGACGAAGTAGTTAAACACACAATGCCGCGTTAACTCGTAATAAAACGCAATCACTCGAAAGTTTCACCAATAAATGGTTTATTACTCTTTCGCGTAAACGTGGAAAGGAATTATGATTTCTGTAAAACTTTACGGTCCTTAGCTTCGTCGAAATGATTTTAAATTTCTTCGACGGAAATCCTGCGCGGTTGTTGAATTATTTATCACGGTATCGACGATCATCTTCTTCGAGTTCTTAAAATCGTTAAATACTCCATTTTAATTACGAACATTATTTTCGAAAGAAATGTTTATTGACGCTTATTAATCTAAAATTGATTAAACAGCACAATATCTTTGAAATGATAATATATGATACGTTTTAAAAACGAGGTACCCTTCAATTTCCGAAAGTAAGACAATGTATGAAATATGAATGTTTATATTTTATTGAAAAGTGATATCTAAAAAGATTCTCAGAATCTTAACTAAAAAGTTAAATATCTATCTGAATATAAAGCTTTCGAAGTTACTAGTATTTCTATCTATTTTCATAACTCATCCTCGCAATATATATTTTTATTTTGCCCTCGAGATTCTACCAAGAATCCTTAAACTACGGTGGCCAAGTTTGTTAATAAACGGCATGGTAATTCGCCAGGAAGTGGAACAATATACGAAAGAAGTGTAATTTCAGCGGAAACGGGATTTTATGCCTTTCAACTTCCTCGAAACGTTTCTCAATTTTATTTCTTCGTCTTCTGCGATGAGGATCCAGCTGAATTATTTATTTTATCGATGTATTATTAAAGCACCAAA